CGCCTGCTCCTTTTTCCACTTCATGCGGCGGTTCTGGAACCAGATTTTGATGTGTCTCTCGGTGAGGTTGAGCATGGCGGCCAGCTCTATCCTGCGCGGCCGGGAAATGTACTTGTTGAAGTGAAACTCCTTCTCCAGTTCCAGTAGCTGGCCCCGAGTGTAGGCTGTGCGCGTTCTCTTGTTCTCATCCTCCACAGCAAAGGACGCACCTGTTCACAACAGACAGACAAAACTAGAGTTAGAACACACGTCTTCACAAGCAGTAATGTAGCACATATAGTGGGAGTACATGGTAGAAAAATCTAGATACTACCCCTAATTATCGTTCCCTTTTAAAAGTACAGTGCCCTTACGTTTCCTCTTTCAGAGTTTCACCCAGTTCGGACCACAAGTTGGAATATAAAGAGCACACTCTCCATAAGTATGGTACCACATATGGTGGCAGAGTTCTACTCTATGTACAGCCTATCGGATAAAGTTTAATATAATTATATATTACGAACAATTTCTCATTTTTCCAAGCTTTCTGTTTTCCTCTTTGACACAGTTTTGGCCCTGAGTCGAAACAGGTGATACAGCTTTAATTTTCTGTATAATTTTGCGCATATTAAGAGGACAATGTGCACGAAAGCTAGCACATACGTGATGTGGTTTCCGTTTGACGAAAACATGAGAACGTGAGAACCAGTAGCACCCACCAGGGCGCTGTGGAACCGGTAAGTTTTCCCGTCAAATTCCTGCTGAAACTACTCTTTTTACAGCACGGTCCCATGCGGTTTCTGTGAAATGATTTCTGATAGAACAAATTAAAGCTCTTCGTACATGTAGATACACGTAATTCACACCATCACTCAAATACTCGTTTTGTCGAATTTCTTACTATAGAAACTCATCAGCTGATGGCCTAGTTTCTTTCTTTCCTTTTCAATAGATATTTTTAAGACTTAGCCTAGATACACGTGATCCACAAGATCACTCAAAGCAACCGTTTACACGATTTTGTCGCAATTCCCAACTACGGAAGTTCATCAACTGCTAATGACCTAGTTTTTCTCTTCAACACATATTTTCTGACGGTCATAAAACTAGCAGCATTCAAATAACAAGCATTTGTTTGAAGGGTAGATAGAATCACATAGACATTCTAAAATAGACCTCACTTGACGTCTTTCATGGTTAGATTTTTAATCAAGTAAGAAGATTGAACTGTCTGATGTTAGATATGCATTACTGGGGGATCAATAGTAATAAAAATCATGTGTGAAAATTGACTGAGGAAAGGGTGCAAAACAAAATTTCGTTTGTAAATTATATAGAAATTGAAAATGTTACAAATTCAGCTCGTTTTGATTTCGGAGCAAGTGTCAATTCACCATAGCAGTTTTTCAGTCAGCGTTTGTGGTTGAAAGTTCGAAGAATCAGTATGTGGTTTTGTCATAATTTGTAAAAGAAATACCCACTTTTAACTCATAAAACTAGTTGTAAAACGCATTACTCCATTCCATAGTACGACAAAGGACTTCTGAACTACATCAAGTTTATCATACTACATATGTACCATACTAACCTATACACCCAATTTAGGCTGTAAAACTATAATTTTGTATAAAGAATATTTTTCGTAATTTCTGCAGAGAATTTAGCGTTTTCGATGCATTATGTTGGTACACATGTATCACTATTGTCGTTCATCTTTATATGGCTTCAGGTACTCCACCCATTGATATTATTTCTATTCATCAAGGCAGTTATTTTCCATATCACGCTTTTTATAGCTGCCTGCAACCTACAGCACTATAGTATGGTCACAGAACACAGTAATATGCTAATAAACAGCGCTATCTGATGATGTTGTGTCGGTAGCGTTATGAAAGCGGCGCTGTACATAGGGAATAGTGATTCATTTATTTAGAGTATGAGTGTAAGTCAAAGTGGGCAGGTGTATCACAAGCAGGAATGGTATGTTCAGGTGGGAGGAGACATTTGTTTTGTAACATTCCTTCATACGTTTGTACAAATGTTCCGTTTTCTCGTGTCTACATTTCCGGCCGCTCATTTCGTACAGTCGCTGTTCGAGTTGTTGGTGCATTGCTGGCAATAGTTTGCAAACGTTATCTATAATATCACATTTGCATGATGAGATTTTAAAAATAATCTCCAAGCAGATCTTTTAGTTGGGGAAAGACAGTACAATATATCAAATTTGCCAGCCTGTATCCATTTGCCAGACAGTATCCATTTCTCCACCGAAGGATAGAGGCTGGCAAATTTGATACTGTCTTTCCCCCTTCGAAAGATCTGCTTGGAGATTATTTGAAAACAGTTTGAAACTCCATAGAAATATATATAAAGATACGCATTATTATTCTGACTACATTATGACTCAATATATTTTTCAATCATCAGATTTGTCGCCCCAATTTTACAGGCCCAGAAAAATTCACGTGGTTTATGAATATAATAATGGGTCAAACGAATGTATGAGAGCTACTCATATTTTATGGCTTTGGTTAATATCAGGTGTAGTGTAGGCATGGAGTTCTTTGTTATAGTCCATGGTATAGGTCTGGGATAGTGGTGTAGTATGGTGATCACCTAACAAACCACTAGCAGCCGTGAATTGAAAGATGTAATGTTTATAGGCAAAGTTTTCCACACTTGGACGAGTTTTAAGTGTCTTTCTGACCAAAATACCCGGGGGTCTAGCGCCCCAGTCATCCCCGCCCACTTCAAGGCGGTTTCTCCCGGTCAAACTATGCAATACACAAGCACAGGGCGCACAAACTGGGCCCGGGCCGCGGGCGGAAACGTACACACGGCCGCTCGGCACGCTGTTTGGGTCAACAGCTCCGTCTATCCGGGTAGGGCACGGGGAGGGACGTGCAGGTAGAGCGGTTACAGCCCCCCTCCCCCATAAAACCAAACATGGAGAACTGGGACATACAGGTTGTTAGTCTCCACAATAAAGTAGTACATTCGTGGTCTCTATCATTCGGTTAAGAGGAAGTAGTAGAACTAGTGGGCCAGATGAACTTACGTGAGCGATTTTGAAGTTGCCAGAGGAGTTGGCCAGTCAGTGGGGCTAGTCGGACCATTTTTGGCGGGCTAACTTCTCTGAGAAACTGTGTGACCAATTTTTAACTACATTACGATTTTTGTCAGACCTCGGAGGAGTCTGACGGAGACTGACTGATTGTGTTACGTGCTCGGAAGTCGAATAGTCCGCTACGTACAGCATCAACAAGATATTAGATCAGAACTACGCAATAAACACATAAGTACTAGTATACTTTTATTAAGCGAGCAGCGAATAGGCCTCCTTTTCCAACATGTCAAAGCTTTGCAACTTGGTAACGTTTTGTTACTTCCGTTGCTACCGCCACCTCATGATCATTATCCTTTTCTACGATGGTACGAATTTGAAGCTTAGCATAATCTTGGATATAGCCAAGGCATAACGTCAGGTGTGTTGTTATCAGTATGTATGCTGTAACGACAGTACTGGCTCTTTCAACGTAACGGAAAACAGTTCAAACCTGCTGGATATTTTCTGGAGACCCTGTGATGCCAACTCGTGACTGTACAGTTGATGTACGACCTAGCACCGTTTCTCAAACCTATCGGTGCGATTTTCACATCAGGCAACTTACGAACGGACTTTAATTATGGTCGGAGCCTATATGTGGAAGAAGCAAACTCGTGTTTAGATCTTTGTAGTCGAGGACATCATGAAAGATCATATAACATATCGCGAATACGTGCTGCAGTCTGACTAGGCTTTTTGAAATGTAAGAATAATCGTACGTGACGTTTGGATCAACTGTCTAGATACAAGTGAAACCATGATAATTACGCAAAGCCTACTTGTGTACAGCTGATTCACTCGAGCACTTTTCAACGCTGATGTTCATACCTGAGGTAAATCTACCACTGTACTTCTCAATGTCAGGATTCCAAACTGTTGCGGGGAAATTTAGCATTGTCACACCACAATATCATATGTGAAGCACTAAACGTTACCTTACAAACGTTTTGCAGCGTTTTAAACAACAGGCGAGCTTCATTGTTTTAATAGTAGTCACCTGTTGATGTATACCAGTATATGTTCTGTATCTGTATCTGTATAACAGGTATGTATAACCGCCCCTCGGCGTTACACACCAGCTGACTAACGTTGTTTCAATTTGTTTAATGTAATGTTGTTTCCACATTGCTCTTTAGTCTGAGATTAACATATTATACTATAGCGTCTTACCGACGAGGAACATTTCACCAGAAAACCAGGTAGCCAAGAAACAGATAAACAAAACATAGACAAACGCTTGCATATATCGTGGGAATTCAGTTGTATTATACCTGGATAGTTATACCAGTACTGAAGATTTTCAACGAGAATTTTGCCCTACCAGTTGTAAAATTAAGGGTCGTAAACTAAAACAGTACTAGTTTAGAAGTTGGAAAACAATTGATCATCACATAACGGTGTGTAACGGTAAAAACTTATTCCTCTCAGAGTTTGTGTGTATCTCAGCCGTCTGTCCATCTCTTCTACATTCCAGGCACAGGTGCAGGTTGTGCGAGGGGTGGGGATTACTATGGGAACTGTGATGGGACCAAAACTTCACAGACTCTGGGGAGGCCGTGCCACGTGGCGAGATATTCCTCTCTAAACAGAGGTGGATAGGAAACCATTCCCTTCTTCTGGTTGCCACACTTTCAGCCTACCTCTTGAACTCATTATAAAACTGCATTTCGTTACAAAGACGTGTCTCTGTCCCTCCTGATATGAAGGGTAGGCTAGTAGTACATGGTAGAGGGATCCATTCCTCAAGCTAACCGACATCTCACACACACAGTCGTCCCTCAGTAAGACATCTGGCATAGTTGTCGTTTAAGCGTGTGCGAGATGTCGGTCAGCTTGAGGAATGAATCCCCTCTACTGACATGAAGGGTAAGCTGTCAGAAAGCGGCAGAACTTGAAGGTAACGATCTTCCCTTCAACCTCTGCCTGCATATGGCAGGTTGTCAGCTAGTTTACCTTCGTAAGACGTGTGGGCGGGAAAACCTGTCAGTTAGTCCGGCTACACACATGCACCTTTGCCACCTCAGGTGGTGTAACGAAGGGCATTATATAATGTCCTTGGTATAACATGATAAACGGTCGGTTATGATATTCACATTCTTTTTTCATTCCATATTTTTTTCCGAAGAGCAAAATTTTCGCTCATTTGTACATCTGTGCACATTGTTACACACAAGAAATGGGAGTTGAAAACTAGAAAATACAGAACTGAAACACCTGCTTTTATCTGGCTTTTCTCCGCTATTTTATGTAGAATCGGTGAGTTAGACATTTTCAAACTGCATCTTTGTCAAAACCATTGGATAAAAATCAGCTAAGATTGAATGTACGTGTATGCCTGTTGTAAAATAGGACGGTATCAAATGACATATGTATCATATGACATGTGTGGCAGGTGTTTCCAGTGAATTGTAAATTTACCAACATGGAGTTTTTTTCTCACGAACTTTTCTCGAAAACGCACAGCCAAGAACATGGTACACCAACAGGTGTGGCGCTTTTCGTGGAATATAGATAGATGGTGTGTGGTGTGCGACATTCAGTGTTTTATTCTTCAGAGGCAGTTGTGTTTTGTTGTGTACGTACACAGGTGTTCTTGCTTCTCTTAAAATGTGACTTTAGAAAGTAACAGAAAAGGTGGTTTTCAGAAATATTTGAGTGTGAGACTAAACAGGTAGTTTGCCATAGTAAGGTCCCATACTGAGTTTGTTATATTACATGTAAGTAAGTGCAATTTTTACACTGTACATTTCTTTAACATTTCTCGTTGTTTCCTTTGATTTCTTAGTGATATTCAAGGTTCCCAGATGAAAGAAGCAACAAATTCAGTCTCTGAATGTGTAGATATATGTCTAAAAACTAACTTTTGTAAGGATTTTCGTCCAACACTACATACTCTACATCATATAATACCCGAACCGACCTATGTACTTCTGACTGGCCATATCTACACATACACAGGTACATTCTGGACAGAAGGCAGGTGTGTTTTTTCTTCTTTATCTTACGGACAAGTCGCTCAAACTCAAAGATGAAAATACGAAAAGCTCGCCACTAGATTCACTCGTCTTCACCAGACTCCTCTGCGGGCTGAGAAACTGTAGAACTTTGCCAAAAACCTTGAATGATTTGCCAACCATAAGGCAGAGTGAGCTCCCATAGTCGGCTAAACTTCTGCTATACCATACTACCTTTCTGGTGACCAATTGGTACAGTTTTCCAGGCCGCAAAAGGGCTTTGTGGAGACTTAAAATTCCATACGATTGCCATGTTTTTGAACTGGTTACGATGAAGACATGTCTGCCCGTGCTACCTGTCCCCTCACGTAGCCTGCACCACTCCCTACATGTGGTGGAGTTGTTTTTGTTTTGTGGTCATAAAGGCCGGCTAATGACATGTAATATACATAATTATAGATAAAATACGACGATAAAACCTACACATTGGCCAAACTTTGCATCAATCAAATCTCGAGAGCCTACTGTCGTCGGGTTGGTTCCTTTCTGGTACTTTTGCTGTATTTTTGCCATGTCCAGAACAATGTAATGTAGTGCGTGAACACATGCATGGGACTATGAAAAACATGGCGTTTGCTGCTACAATATTACCTGCACAAGAACCTTTATGGAATAGACTTATGGTTTAGTACATATAAAACGTCTGTTACTCGTACGTGTACTTTTGGTGATGTATAGTGATTCTTAGGCATTCCCATATTGTTCTAAAGTTATGATTTTTAACCATTACATCTTTGCAGCAGAGTATATCGGTTCAGTTACACCTGCACAGCGTATGGGGTTCTATAACATGATAGAGGAGAACAGAAATTAGTCACACGAATTTGCGATGATTTGTAACCCGAAAGAAGAGGGATTGTGTGTCTGCTTTATTGACTAACAAACGGCACACGACTGTAAATGTACCCGGGCATGTACTGATGTGTGCGCACCACGGGAGGCCATGTTCGCTCTTTTTCATGGAAATACCTGTTAAACACCGGCTTAGCCTGGCGGAACCGGTCAACACAATACCTCCTGTCCAACTCTGATGTAACAGGACGTTTTAGAGCCGTTAGAAACATCGTGTGGTGTCATGTTTGGTACTTAAATTTAGTGGGAGAAAGGGCGAATACCGGTTTACAAATTGTACCCATTTGTTAACAAGGCTGACATATATGTAGAGTGGAAATGTGATCTTCACTTGTTAAGTTCTCTCGTTTCACATTTATCTCAAAAATGGTGTCGACACAATGATTGGGAAGGGTTGAACAAGTGTCATATGGAGATTAAAGACGGTCCTTTTAGGGTAAGAGGATTTGATACTTTTATAGCTTCCAGGGACATTGTTCTGCTGCAGCTAATGACTAAATGAGCTTCTTGTCGGTACAAATCGGTTTAGAATTAGTACATCTTAACTGTAGTTATACGGTATAAGGACTGAGAATTATCTAAGAGCAAGTAGTGTGACAGGTGTATATATGTATGTTCTTAAATAAAAGTTAGAAGTGGTTCTACACACGATTTTGTTACGTTGTGCATGGTGAATATGATTATTTCTTACACACTGTGTATGAGTCGTTCGAAAAGACATCAGAGTGGTGATACGGGCCGGTCACAATGCTAGTTTGTACATAGAACCTGTTGAAACCGCCAATTTGCGCCAGTGTCCGCTGACGCCGTGTCACTATAAATGGCAGTAAAATGCGCGTGTTTCCCGCAAACAGATAATAGAAGTTTCTTATCCCGGGTTGATTTATAAACGTTATGACTTCTTGATGACCGTGGACCATAAAAACCTGCAGCAGCGTGGTCGTTACACGGAGGCGGCGCCTCGTGGGCAGATGTCAGAACCTCGGTTTATCGGAAAAAATTAAAATCACACGACGTGAAGCGAGGAAAGCGGAGATTGTAACAGATGTAAGACCGGGGCCAGGTCCCTTTACTACCCAACCCGCCGGGAGTCGTTTTAATTTCCCGGGTCTCGTTTGCCGGCGAGAGCGGGCTGGGGAGAAATTGGACGACTGTGGAGGACAGAAGTTTTACAACCGGACTCGGCTGTAAAACTGACACAGAGGGGATGAAGTGGCCATTATAGGAACTCATCACATTAGGCGGGCTTCATTACGGGCACACGCGCCGGGCGGAGACGCACGGCCCTCCGCCGCGGGGAGAAACATGTACTAGTACCCACCTGGCCACTGCGACTTCCAGGCGTGGGCGTGCGACTTGGTGGTCTTCATCCAGGGGAACGGCAGGTTCTCGTTCCTGTTGACGGCGCAGCTGGACTGCGGGGCCGGGGGAGGGCCGGCGTGGTGGACGGGCTGGGTCGGTCCCGGTCCCGAGGACGCCATGGGCCCGGGGCCCGGCATGCCGCCGCCCGGAAGTTCCGCGTCCAGCTGATCCAGTTCCACGACGGACATGTTTGGCGGCGGGTAGGGCATGGCGTGCTGCGGCTGCTGGGTGTTGGCGTACAGGCAGGACGACCGGGCCTGGTGCTGCTGGTACGACGCCGGGATCATCGGCCGCTGCGCCTCGTACCCTTCCCGCGGGTACCCGCCATAGTACGGATTATTCCCGTCCATCCTCTAGCGAGCTTTCATTGGCCCAACTTGAACTAGATTGCCGCTATAAACTTGCTGGCGTTCGTACGATAAATCAACGTCAGCGCTCGGTGCCCCCGGTATTTAGAACACACACACCACGTGACTAAATCTGTTTGTCCGCTATCGTTTGAAATTACCATGTGACAACACGGTTGCAAATTTTCCTGCCTCCTCCTCTTCCCCCGTCTCACCTCCGAGTGAGGAGATCACCTGTAGAAAAGGCGGAGTCCCCCGGCTCAGGGACCGTTTGGAGGGAGGGGCGACCTGTGCGCATTTCAACAACAATGGTATCGACCTCGGGTCAAAGTGTGCAGGATTAACACCTTGTGACGTCAGACAGAAAACTACCCACGTTACGTTAAGAAAGTCCCGCCCACGTGAGGGAAGGAAGAAAAAAAATGGCAGAGAAACAAAGGTTTCCGTTGTAGGCGAGAAAAGTAGCAGGCACACAGGTCGGAACAAAAGTAGCTTTCTCACAGGTTGAGCAACAGGTGATTTCTTTTCTTTCGCTTTATCTGAGCCCACAGGTGTGCAACCCCCGCATTGCAGGGAAGTCAAGACGCGCCGACGCCGTTAGAGCGTCCAGACTCAAGACAAATCGCGCCAGAGCGCTGCGAAATTAAACGTTTCTTTTCAAAACGCTTGTTCGTCGCGTCCTCAAAATGAGATTTTTCACGGCGTCTTTTGTGCGGCGGACAGTTTTGTGGTGTTCCGTCTGTCTGCAGCAAATGAAGAAGTCATTACAACCCTCCAAAACAACAAAACAAGTTTTCCTAATAGTTTCACACACACCATCATTACACGGGCAATATTCCCGGCCAAAATTGCATAAAGTTTTGACAAATTTGGGACGGGAAATGTTATCAATGAGTAAGACAGGGCGTTTTAATTATCAACCCCTCCTCGTCAACGGTAGGAGACGTAGCCTGGATATGGCAGAATTCGCTGTTTGTTTGCCGGGACCGTATTGTCTAAACCTAGATTACAATCAAGCCCTGTAATGTGTCTCTGACGCGACCCCATCCCACCCTGCTAATCTGAATAAAAGGGACCTCACAAACCTACCCGGTAAGAATCGCCCACAGTAACACCTGCGGGGAGCAAACTTGCAGGTGTGCAGGGCGACTTAATCCGCCAGCAATCCCTTAAAACTCCAAGTTTGGTGTAAAACGGACTTTATCGGAAGTGAGAATTGTTCGGTATTGTTCTGCCGCGATGTCATCAAATATTTGAGTCCAGATAGTGCGGCCTGCGGGGTCCGGCCGGAGTGTTGTGGCTAGCGGGGAGGGGTCAGGCAGCGGGAGAGAGAAACAACTCAACAGGAGTCTGTGGCCGGACGTTCGCACACACACGGACCAAACAACGCACTTATTCCTACACTTCTGGTCAAATCTCGACAATTATATCCACATTTGGGACGCACACCCACATATCAGCAACTTGAGTCATGACACAATCCGCGTCAAAATCAAATCAAATAAAAACGCACAACACGAGACATTTTGAATTTGAGAAATAAAAAAAATGACATCCATTTCTTTGTGAATAGCTTATTACTATGTTCATCTGCTTGAAAGGAAATGTCTTTTATGGTGCCAGCCCTGCAAATAATCGAAAATGTTCACTTGTGAATTACTTTCTCTCCTCTTTTGCAATAAATATTGGAAAACCAAAGACTATGACGTTATGTAACTTCCTTTGAATAACGTTTTTTTATTCCACCTGTTGAGGAAACCATTATCACTTTTTGTAAACATGAGTTTTCCTGTCCACCTGTTGGGACAGCAGGTCACACTTTTGTCACACAAAGGAGAGAGAGAAAACATTTGCATGTAATACTCATAGTACTTTCCCCGTGTCATTGTCATGTTCATATTCCCATTGTCATGACCGCTTTATGATGGAAAGAGTTGTTCTGACTGGAGTGAAGGACACATCAGGTCATGTGTGTGCGCATATGGGCGATGGGCTGGCATCATTTCCGCTGGATCCATCCAATCTGGGTAATGTATGGAGTAAAAACGCACGGCTTGGATGTCATTGCCTACACCGGACTCATCTGACGAAGAATATGAAAACTTGGTTGTTATAGCACTACAATAGTCCATAACATGGATACTTCGTCATCATTGTGTTAGTCAGACTGTCCTTTTCTAACGCATTTGGCAAAGTGCTAGTAAACGCCATATTTAGTCAATTTTTACCACTTTTCAGTTGCCAACACATTCTAATGGCGACTATGACCATCAATGTAGGACAGCTTTACGCCCCCCCCCCTCGGTACACCCATCCCAACATGTGTGTTGTAGAATGAATGACACAAACACTAACAAACGAATTTCGCCCTGCCGCGTGTTTGGGGCGATTTTTGCGTGTCGAGCCGGTTGCCAGCCCGCTGTTTGTGTTTATCCGCGGTATCAGCCGAGCTGTCAGAGGCGCCAATATGTGCCAACAACCGTCCCAACACGAGAGGGCAGCGCTACGTTCCCACCAACAACCGGACCGCCACTTCGGACCTGCCCGTCAACTCAACAGCTGCCGAGCCGCTTGTTGCTACCGGACTGATAAGCCTGATGGGCCAAAAATGTAATCTCCAAGCAGATCCTACTAGGGTGGCAAAAGACAGTATCAAATTGATCAGGCAATATCCATTCGCCAGAGAGGGTCCAATACGCCACCTTTTGTCTTTTGCTACCCTACGATCTGCTTGAAGATTACTAAAGCTCGACTACTGCCATTTGAGAAGAACACCGTTCGATTGATCTAGATTGGCTGAAATGTAACGCGCCTGAACTTTTTACATTTAGAGGGAAGTTGTACTTCAATGATGCCCTTAATATAACCAATGAGGTTTAAGATCAAATTGATTTTAACCTCCTTGATATAACAATGAGGACAATATCGAATAATCAGTAGTAAAAATGGAAAACAATGACAAGATGTTGAAAACATGGAACTTTTGATACTCAACAGCAAAAATATCACCAAAAATGAATTTTACACCAGAGAAAAGCTTCATGAAGCTTCTAGATGCGGCAATGTTGACATTAGTAATAGTAGTACAGGTAATTCGGCTGCAAACGACGCAAAAAGTGGTTCAACTGCAGTAATACAGCTCCAAACAACGCAGAAAGCGGATACGTATGCGAGATAATGACATTTAAGATACGACGGCAAACATCCTTACGAAAAATGTAAAGGTACTAAAAGCGTAAGCGCTGCACAAAAATTGCCGAAACTGCTATGAGTCAACGACATTGATCGTTCCGTGTATGAAGTTGTAATAAGCCAAACTTTGAGCACACAGTAACCCTGCAAACACTTGATAGGCGGAGATAATTAGCCTATAGATGATCATAATCGGCGGTAATTTGCGGTATAATACATCCACTCTCCCCCGGTCCTCTTGACTCCTGTGTGTGTGGACATCTCCATGTGGTAATGAAAGTGACTGGACCACCTGTCCGCCAATCACAGGTTGCTCTGTTATTATCTCCCGCTTCCCATGAGCTCACCCGCACAGTGATGAAAAACCTTTCAGGGAAGAGAGACTTGTCTATATACACTCGCTGGAACCTGTGTACTTTATAGTTGTGATTGTGCAGAGATGGAGGTATAACGCTTGTTGTCAGGGCGGGTGACAGGGTGGGGGAGGCTGGCTTTCTGTCATACTAATCTCCAAGCAAATCTTGGTATTCTTGGTATGGAATATCATCATCACCGTTTCTAGATTTTTTTTGACAGATCGTCTTCACAAGATAATTTCTTTACGAAGCAACCGTATTGCGCCAGTGTACGGTGATATTGGAAGGGTACCCTGTCAGAGAGATTTCTCCTCCCCAGATCTGCTTGGAGGTTGAGCCGTGCCTGTCTCAGACCCCGTGGGTCGCCATGAGACCGTGGTGCTGGATTCCTCGGGCGGCAGGACGGGCGCCACACGCGCGGAATGCATTGTTTATGTTGTTTCTACTGTTTGCGGGTTAAGCTCTTTAACATGAAGTCATCGGACAAAGTACCATTCGACTCCGAACCGGTCACACACCCCGGAATTTCTACCTCCCGCGGAAAAACCGCCGCTCAAAACACGAACTGGAAACGGTAAAACAACGGCATACAACCCGCCGCGCGCAAACTGGGAAACTTGGCGCGCATATTGACAAGTTTTTGTAGAAACAGGCTTCCTATGCGAGATAGATATGCAATACGTCGTACCAATTTTATTGGGACTTTCACACAATGGCGAATCGAGATACGAATCTGGACCCCATTGACAACTAACATTATACATTCAGGGCTGAAAGCGTTTGGAAGATAACATTGAATGGATATCACAAACAAAAGATATACTGGACACTTTGTTTTTCCACCTGTTCCGGTCCGCTCCTTTGTTTCGCTAAGTGAGTTGTGATAAGCACTAATACCCAACTTCACAATCTAGCCACTCGTAAGACACACGAATAAAATATTCACGCTAACGTTAACATTACCGTGCCTTGTCTTTTTGCCAAGATCGCCGCATTGACAGAGATGGTCCCTTAATTTTCCTATCTATAGGTGGAGGCGTAGGTAAGGTAAGACTTCTTTATTTTTTGTATGTGATCTAGACATCTGATCTAGCTACATTTGCGACTGTCCATTCACACACGCAATCCACGCAGCTATCCTAACATCACCGCAATCGCAACGAGGTGTTATATTTGAAACTTGCGCTAAAGCAAAGACTCCAGTCGTTATGGCATACATCTCCTATAGTCTCCCATATCTCCACACCTGCCTTCTCCTATTCTCTCCTTCCTCCCTGTGACTGCTGCCGTGATTGTGGAGACAACAGGTGTACCGAATGTTCCTGAAGAATGTGTATTGTTTTGAAGTATACACGTTATCGAAATTGATCAACTTGTCTTGTGTGGAAAAAAAGAGAGATACCGAGCGCCAATCCACGAAACATCTGGTCCAATGTTTGTTCTGTTTGACGAGTAATGATAGACCAGTATGGTATAATGAACTGTCCTCTTCGGACGTGACAATACATGATTCCTGTTGAGGTAAGACTGCAACTGGGTAGCGGAGCGGTACCGATGTGCTATAGTATAGATGTTCCCGCAAAACTCGCATACATGTACAAGTTCAATCTCAAACCAGACGTCGGAATAGTGAGTTTTGCCAACAGTTATACCATACACGTCAACAGTTTAGATTGACTTAGACCTGACCAAAAACAATCTGCAAATTCTTCAGAACGTTAACGTCAACTTCAAAATCTGAGATGGCACTTTTCAAGTTTGGACATCAATCAATATATCTCAGAACACTAAAGTGCAGTGAATCTTCTTTTTTTGTAACTTTTAATGATAATTTTCAAC